CCCCTATATATATATATATATATATATATATATACACACACTGTAGCAGTTATTTTTAATTAACAAGGCTTTACGTTCTGCGGTTTCTACTCTGGGCTCTGTGGACCACCTCAGGGAGGCTTAGTATCAAAGGGCAGCCAGCATAAATATTTTAAAGTACCAATAAATACGTAATGTATAGGTATGCTTTTGAGTATGGGAAACGCGGTGATGTCTCCGGAGAGACAGCGTGGCGTAGCAGTTTGAGCATTGGACTCTGGAAACCAGGGTCTGAATCTTGGGCTCTGCCATAAGAACCCAATGAGTGACTTTAGGCAAGTCACACTCTCTCAGCCTCACAGCAACCCCCCTCTGAAGAAAATTGCTAAGAAAACCCCATGATAAGTTGGAAATGACTTGAAGGCATGCAACAACAAACAAGAAATCCACTCGCTGTCATTTATGAAAACTGGAATTTTGCGAATGAAACAAACAAAGTTTACGTACACAGAAATGTCAAGAGAGCAAAGATGTCACTATCTCCGCCAAAGTTTCAATTTTTGGAATATTTTGGATTTCTGAATTCCGGATAAAGGAGACTCAACCTGCACCAAGTGGGAGAAAGCAAATAATATTCTGACGGCATGCAGTTGAAGCAATCCCATAAATACTATGTCTCTCCCGCTTGTAAAAGACAGGTTTGGGCAGATTGGAGATCAAACCTTGGGTCAAGAGACTGGTATTGCCTCACTCTTTATGAGGATGACATCTTAATGGCCCCAAAGAAGAAGGTTTCCCTTTGCCAATGGGGCCTTGTATATGACCGCCTCCTTGTCCTGAGATGGCCTGGATACCCAAAAAGCGCCAGATCCTGTCTGATCTTGGCTGCTAAGCAGGCTCAGCCTTGGATAGTCCTTGGACGGGAGACCGTGCCAACACAGAGCAGGTGCTGGAAACTTTATTTCAGAGGAAGGAACTGGAAAAAGCCACCCCTGAGTATATCTCTTGCTTAAGAAAACACATTATTTGCTTTTCAGATCCCAAAATGGTTGACAAGGAATCTCCAAAGGATGAGACTGAAACACAGCAAGGTAAGCCAAAGCTGAAAGCGGTCTGGGAGAGTATCTACACTGCCCAGTTATACCACTTCCATCCCACTTGAACTGATTGGGTGCCACGGGAATTGTAGTTTTGGAGAAGGGGTCACAAATCTCCCTTGGGGCACTGGTGAAATCCCTTGGAACTATACATCCCAAGGCACCGTTCTGTAAAGCCCTCTCATATCGGGGG